AGGGCTACGGTTACGCAGGTTTTGGTCCATGTTTCCACTTGCCAGGGTTCTACTTTGGTACCGGTTTTTTGAGCCATACCCATATGTTGTGTTTTTCCCCATGAATCTGCAGTGTGAGCTAGTGCCCGCTCAATCCAAGCCTGCGCGGGAAAGGGGAAAAAAGAGGCAGGCGCGCGGTCTGCCGGAAAGCCCCCGTGTGAAACGTACACGGGAACTTTGGGGCCTAGGCTGGTTTCAGGGTTACTGTAAATATTTGGCAAATTTTGAGACAAACCTTTATATTTGCCGTCAACTATAGTAAGGATGACATGGGTCACAACCACCAAGTTACCATTCGGAAAATTGGATTTGCTCACCAAAATCTCATGTCAGTTGACGGCGCAAGGGATACCAGGCATATCGGTTTTGGAGCGGGCCGTTTCCGATGGGTGTTGCAGGTTGGCTGTGAATGTTTATGGGGAACAAACACCCTGACTGGTTGGACTTAGATCCCCTGGGCGATGTCCACAGGGTACCGCTCAAATTCATAGGCGACGTCCGACCGCGTTTCGCGGGACCACGGCTGCCTTTTGGTTTTACATGGGAGAATCCCCAGGTGACCTATAGGGGTTTCCGCATTGCTGTTTTGCTTCTGCCACTTTCTCCGATATTTCTCGGAAGAGGAATGTAGAAAGGAACGCATCCGTGTAGAAACATATTTCTCGCGCATGCTCGTCTCGTGTTCTTTGTGGGGGACTGGCTGTTGGGCTGACGGCCACATATTCTCTTTTCACCGGAAAGGGCGCCCGAGGAAAGTAAGCATATGAACCCCTGCACGCCCCCCGTATTGATTTGTTCTTCACTCGGACTTCAGTACGGTCCACCCAAAAAAAAATGGGACCCAAAAACATGGGACCCAAACGCAGGCCTTTTAATCCGGTGACCTTGAACCCTTTCCACCTGAAGGGCATGGCCGATCCACATGTGAAGAGTCGGGTCGATCACGCAGGTTCGTGCTTTGGTCATATCCCATTTCGGGGACAGGAAGTTGGCTGGGGAGATTCACAAGTCGGTTACGACCTAATGGTAACCCCGTTTTATGCAGAACTGCTGGTTGATGAATAGGGGGGTTCTTTTGGATTCCGTCATTTCTGGTTCCCCCCTAGAACAGGTTCTACGTGGATCCAGGGTCAACACCACGAGGGCAACCAGAGCCTCTGGCGTGTTGTTTCCTGCACGACGCCTGAACAACTTTTGGCTGAGTGACGCATGCGTAGTATGTTTCAAAATGGGGGACCCCAAAATGTGTACCCAAAAAAGAATACATATGGCCATGGGTCAAAACCCCGGTTAGCCCCCAGTGAACATCCCAATCCCCACCAAAATAATTAAGCTCTAAAATGGGTGGTGAATTCACCGAAAACCCCAAAATGGGATCCCACTGGTGCCGAACCAAGGCCATATCCTCGAAGAGAGCAGGCGAAAAGATCTTCCGTGCCCAGCTTTCACCAACCCGCGCAGGTGGCGGACCGAGGCAGCATAGATGCTGGAGGCGAATGGATCGCCCCCCGGTTGGAAACAATTTGGGGCGTACCCAGGGGGACTTCGCAAAACCCAAGACCAGTTTTGAGGACATTTCCCCGTTTTAAGACACGCAGCGATTGGTCCGGGGCTCAAATTGGGGAGTGTGGTTCCATATTTACGGCCCACGCCAATGTTGGATGCTGTAGGAATGCTAACCCCGGGTGTGGATCGCGAGGCTCTCCATGTGAAAACGAAGAAGTCTCCCCCCAAAAAAACGAGAGTTCAACTGGGGCTGTATAAAGCCCTTAGTTCAGATGAAACTTGTATTCGACTTTGGGTTTTGCATTGCCCTGTGAGTCGCCCAGGTTTCGAATGCCTGAAGTAAGAATAAAGCAACCTGTGGATTGGTGTGGATTGGTTTGGACTTGGACTTTTGATCCCCTTCGTGTGGGCTCCAAACCACTCCAAACCGAGCCGAGCTAAAGAGGCCACGGGCCTGTGAATCCCACTTTGGCACCATGTTCACGGCGGAGGCTGCGACTTCATGTTGCTTGAGCATCGGAGGGATCTTTGGACGGACACATGTGCACCATCCTGACCACTACGTAAGTTGACGATCAAACAGGTTTGATTGGTTTTAGGGCACCCTGGCAATGCTTGGTTGGAGCGGGAAGCCAAAGGAAACCCGGCATTTGGGGGTCGCCCTATTTTTGAGACACATGCCCCAATGGGCTGTTCAAGGCTCGACACCCTCCCTTTCCTGGACTTTCGTCACTTTTTGGGCTGTCATTTTGGAACCAAAGAGTGGGGGCACTTTTTGGGCTTGCCATTTGGCAACGGAAAAGCGTGGTTACCTTTTTGGGCCAATCGAGCGGAAGTGAGACTTAGTCAAGGGAGACAAGCAACCCGGGCCCGTTCTTTTTTTCGGAGTTGGAAAAGCAGCTTCTTTTTTGGGATCCCGCAGATGTTCGCTTTAGCAGGGCCTGTCTAAAAAAGAACAATTACTCTTTAAAAAGCCCGAAGCTCAACAATTGACCAATATGGGCCATGTCTCAACATAGGACTGGGACCCGCCCAAAAATAACAAAAACATGGATTCGATGCTCCGCTTGGCTCCCCTTCGAAACCTCAAACCAAAGAATCCAAAGCCCATGGCAGAAAACACCTCGGCCAAAGCAAAGCTCAAGGGAGAAAAAGGAGTCGGAGGTGTTGGCCCAACCCGTGGCACAAAGCCCCATGGCACAAAACCTCCAAACCCCGGAGAAGGGTGCCGACTCAAAAGGAAGCAAATCGGAACAGAGCCGCCGAATCAGCGCCAGGTGCCTGGCAAGCTCAAGGTCTGCCAGGGCCTTAATCCGCCGTGTCTGGCGGATTTGTTTCAGGGAGACGGATCTCGTGTCGATGTTTGGATTCGCCGTCTTCGGAGTTTTCAGGGCGACAGATCTCGTGTCGATGTTTGGTATCTTTGGGGCTAAAGGTTTTTACTGGAAAGTCAAAGGGAAACCAAAGGGAAATCGAATATTTTGGTTGTTGCCCTTGTTGGTAGGTGAAGGGAGACCAAAGTGAAACCGGAGAATTCCCATTTTGGTCGGGATTCCAGCTCAAAGACGGAGACCACAGTATCTTGAAAATGTCCAATCCGCTAGGTCTGGGGTCCCTGCGACGCGAACGTTTTTTGCCGTTTGGGAATCCGACTTGGAGAGGAATGCCCAAACTTTTCAGGGGTCCCTGCTTCATTGTTTGAAGGGACAAAAGCCCCAGGGCCGAAAGCCGAAAGCGAAAAGAATTCATGGCCGGAAGCGGTCAAATTTCCTTTCGCCGAACCACCAGGCTTCTAAACAAACCAAGAGGGAAGCTGAGTAAACGTTTGCCGGTTTGTCGGGTCCAGCCGGATTTGGAGGTGTAACCCGATCGCCCTTTCAGGTGGTTCGGCG